GAGTAAGATAATAATTTTCAAATATTGTAAGAGTTGAGGAATTGAGTTTTTAGCTTTTTTACGAATATAGGTAAAGTTGGAGATGTTTTAAACAAGGCTATTTTTTAACATTGAAGTTCTATTGGAACAAACATAAAGATTTTTCTTTGAAACACTTCTAGTATATGAATATTCATACATGAGTTTACCCACATTCAGATATTAAAGGTCATTAAACGGTAAGAGCTTGACGTTGACAAATAGGGGATTAGTGTTGTCATGATAATTGGCATTACATATAATACGAATAGCTCTTTTTGTAACAAGTTAATCACACTGAGAAGAGCAACTACCCCATGTGAGACTGGTGGGACTGGGATGGACCACGGTTTGTACGAAAATTGCCCATGCCCGTCTTTCCATATACATGGCAAAGTTCCGGACTTTGCTTGTGACATCATCAGAGATGAAGATGGATGATCCCTTGTACTGATTCCTTTTCAGTAGCTTGGCTGCATTTCTCAAGACGTATTGCCGATCAGCATTTTATTTACCAAAAGTCTTCACACAAACATCAGCTATTCTGGATGGCGAGCCAATGTGCTACAACAGTTCAATATATGAGTACAATGTAAACTTAAGCAAGATTTTATCATTTCTGTGGCCTTTAATTTAAACCTCCTACTGATAGAGCTGTCACAAGCTGTCCAAAAACAAACCCGATTCCTCTCCCATAGCTTTTGTACAGACTGGTCACCAACTGCCAGAACCCCTGGGGTATGACAGACAGGGTGTCATTGAATACTGCCATAACTTGTACTGCAATTCTATAGACCTTATGCGTAGCAGCCATTGCCCTCTAATGCCTTTGTTTTGCTGTGATATGCATGAGTGAACATTTTGTGCCTTCATTGTTACTGAATTAAATCAATCATTGCCAGGCACTCAGCTGTACTTAAACCCACCATATTACTGTCAGTCAAGGCATGGTACTTTCAGTTGACAAAATTGCCACAGTCTGTCAATTCTACCAATATGAGCCCAATTTGCAAAACTGTTTAAAAAGTATCACTTGATAGATTTGACAGATAGTCCTTTTGGCACTGAGAGAGGGAGGGTTAAAGAGATTATTTGTTAATTGATACTATGTTGTACTTTTAATATCTAAACTGGCTAAAAGCATAGGACTAGGACATGCTGCAACTCAACCAGAATAAGACAGAGTTCTTTGTATTTGCCAATAATCGCATACTTCCCTCTATCACCAACATTGAGTTAAGATTAGAAGATCTCCTTATTCACACTTCCACATCTATTAAAGATTTAGGCATCATCCTGGATTGTTCATTGAACATGTCTAATCATGTCAGCTATATTTGTAGAATTGTCAATGTTCACATTCGGAACCTATGCCACATCCGCCGATTTCTCACACAAGAAGCCTGCCATCATGCTGTCAGAAGTATGGTCCTCTCCCGCCTTGACTACGCCAATTCTACTTTGTTTGGAGTGCGTGAACTTGACCTGAAACGCCTACAACGCCTGCAAAATAAGGCAGGCGGCTAGTCTGGGCATGTGGATGGGACCAGCCTTCTGGTAGCCTGCTGGCAGAGCTGCATTGGCTTCATGTTAAACAAAGACTTCATTTCAAAATGTTCACACTCATTTACAAAATTCTTAATGCTCAAGCTCCCTCTTACCTTGCTGATTTAATACACTTACATAACGATACTGTCCCTGATGTACACAGGCATCGACTCCGCTCATCCTCAGACTTGACCCGGCTTTCCATTCCTAGATCTAAAAGGAAGGCCGGGGACAGTGCCTTTGCAGTCGCAGCGCCCCGCCTGTGCAACATGCTCCCCACAAGTCTGAGAGAAGCTGCTTTGTTGCCTGTCTTTAAATGCCTCCTCAAGACATTTCTTTTCCCAGAACCTTCCTGATATGCTTGTTTACTTTGTTAGTTTGTAATTGTTAGTTTGCTTTTTGTATTGTGTACATTTTCACATCTCTCCCCTCTTTGTTATTGTAAGGCGCTCTGTTCTTCGTATAGCGCGATATCAATATTTTGTATTATTATTATTAGGACTATGGGCCTTATTCATGAGTCAGCCATGTTGAATTGAAAGTGAGGTAAAATCTTAAGAGAAATGAAAGCAAGTACATTACTAACTAATTAAAGTCTGCTTAAATGACTAATTTAACATTTGTAATTAAACATTCCCTAATGTTTTAAGCCAGATTAAAAACAAAATGAAAGCAAAATAAGGATGCATAAAAAGTCTGGCGCCATCCCATTCAACAGTTAACAATTTATGAAATACATTTAGGGAACTCGACAAAAATGGCTACCTCGTGAATAAGGTCCATTGAAGTACTCACTAATCTTTGCAGTACAAATACCACTCCAACACCCAATGCATACGAACCTGACAAAAGCATTTCTCCTTCAACTGTTACAACTACAAATTATGTAACAAGTACAAGATATAATTCATTAAAATAATCACTGAGTTGACCAACCTGTCTTTATCAAACATGCCAATCATCAACCTGCATGTTTCTTCATTAAAGTGGGACCAGTTGCCATTGACCAGGGCTTGTCTTAGTTCTGTTGCAGATATAGACCCACTATGGTCAGCATCAACAGCCTGATGAAATATAAAAATCATGAACAGCAAAATAAACAAAGGGCTTCAAATCAGACCAACCAGACCCACCCCGAACTCAACCAACTCCTAACCAAACAAACCCCCAAAAACCTAGCAATTTATCATGCAGAGGTATGATGGGAAGAATAGTCCAATTCTGTGGGAACAAATGTACATGTACGTATGGTGCCCATAGTATGGCAAAATCAATCTCCTGCACAGTCTCAGCAAAACAACTTGTAGTCTAATTTGAATGAATGAGAGAATGGGATTAGCATTGATCAATTGATTTGATTTAGGTTTGACATTTATTATTTTAAATTCAATGTACCATTCAGAAGAAAAGCAATTTGAGAGTTTTCATTAAAAGACAAACCAGACAAACAAACAAAAGAAAGAAGAGAAAGGCTCCAATTCTAAGATGTGATCAGAATAGAGCTTGAACAAACAAAACAAATGTATCAGTATACAAATGAAACATGCTTTGAGGGTTGGTAATCAATACTAGCTCCCACAGGTTTATTAGCTCCCAGAGCTGGCCGAGGGAACTAGTCAGTCAACTTCCAATACCAAGTGGAAGTCGACTTTCAACCCGTAATATGAAAAAAAATGACTTGGGTACAACACTGGCGATAGTCTACTTCGCCTGCAAATTTAATCTGTGCGTTAAACCTTGCATGCGCACTTAGTCAGCAGTAAAACCAGTGGATAAAACGTGATGGTGAATGGACCACTTAGAACTCGGCTTTCGATCATGTGTTGCTTTTCTTAAAGTACCTGGCAGCTGTAATAAACTTTATATTTTTCATTTCTCCTTATAAGATTCACCTGATCAGCTAAGGAATGAGATCCGGAATGGGACCGTTCGAGAACCGGGCGAGCTCGGCCCGCCCAGTAAGCTGCCGCCCGCTTCGAACACTGTACCCGCCCGGTTACTCAAGCGTGGGGCTCGGTTGACTGCTGGAGTGGGCCCCTGGGTCACAACAATAGTTGCTATCAACAGATTAGTGGTTATTGTTCGAGGATTACAGCGCCCAACTCAGGTTGGGTTGGTGTGGAATTTTATTCTTTTCTATCTTCATAGAATGCAAGTATTTTGTTTTTGCATGAAATCATTTGACAAATAAACTTGATACAACTGCCTAGTTTGCAAAGTTCTATATATAAACAATGGTTAAAAAGCTAGATGATCAAGTTGTGATTTTTTTTCTTTGAATTTTCGAAATACGATGTTCGATAATTATATTCTCGGAATTGATCAAATGTACGAAATACCTCATTCTGTATTATTTGAAATAAAGTATTCCCCATATGACGAATATGAATTGTTTTGCGTGTGGTAATAACGTGATGTTTTTGAATTTTAGACTACAACACCGCACTTGCCCCTTATTCACGTTAATTCATACGCATTTTAAACAGAAAAGTCTGATACCCGTTTGAGAATAGAAGCGGGTGGGGTGGGCTTGGCCCCCGATCGGTATGAAGTGGCCCACTCGGTAGCCCCGATCAGTATGAATAGTGGGCACTCTTTTATTCAAGCGTGACGCTCGAGAAGCGGGTGGGAATGACTTATTCAAGCGTGAGCTTGGTTGACTGGAGTGGCTCTCTTGGTCGTTATCAACGGATTAGTGGTAGTTATTGTTCAAGGATTACAGCGCCTGGCCAACTATGGTTTGCCCTGGCTATGATTATATGAAAAATAAATAAATGCACGTAGATAGAACAAACTGGGGAATTCTGATCTTAATACTGAACAAAATACCAACCCCGTTTGCTTTAAAAGTCAGATTCAGGGATTCATCGGTGCTAGTCCATATACATTTGTATACATTTAAGGGGAGAAAAACGTACCGCGTAACTAATTGAAACTCATGTTCACTGATCACTCAAGCTTTTCAAATAGGACTGCGAGTGCAATGGGTCACCAACAATAGCAGTCCATGGGAGGGATTACCGGCGGCGCGCACTTTGATTTGCCGGGTCTTTGTTACCCGGCAGTGAGGATTATCGCCTTGCAAATTGCTTCTTTTGTTAGGTTCAGGAGAGGGCCCACCAGTCAGACTTGTACTTCGTTCTCTTAATCCGAGCCCGCCCACTTTGGAAGGGAGTCCCAATCCCTTTCTCGGAGCGGGCGGGGCTTAGCCCAGACCGTCTGGGAACTGGGCGGTGAGGGACCCCACGCCTAAGGTAGGAGTTGCCAAAATCACATGATATCCTCTTTTTGTTTTGGTTTATCGTTTGGTTTTTATTTAGTATTCATAAATACCTGGTCAAGATATAATTGGTCAAGAGCCTGTCACGTGGGTGGTTTTATTATTATTTATTGGTAGTCTGTCGTGTCCGACGATAAATTTGTCTATGTGCCTCTCATTTGGAAGTGGTGTGGACTCTCATATGACTGTGGAGTCCCAGTCTTGATCTGCATAGGCATCCGCAGTGAGAGCAGAGAAACTGGCCTGGCGCTGTGGGTACTGCTGCTGCAGCTGCCTTCCTCCTCTCCCGGGCCTCCATGACACTATTTCGGCGGCTTTTTTCAAAGCTGTCGGTTGCTTGTTTTGTCACAGCACGCCATCCTGCCGGGTCCTGTGCACGCTCCTCTAGCTGCTTCGGGGGTATTCCAGCATGGACGATGTTGGCCTTGACACTGTCTTTGAAGCGCTTCTTAGGCCTTCCCCAGTTTCTTTTGCCTAAGCAGAGTTCGCCATAGAGGATCTGCTTGGGGATTCTGGAGTCATCCATTTGGATAACATGCCCTGTCCATCGAAGCTGGGCTTTTAAGATCATAACTTTGATGCTTGTAGTCTCTGCCCTGTCCAGGACCTCCAGGTTCGTGATCCTATCCTGCCACCGGATGCCGAGGATTGACCTCAGCCTGCGTACGTGGAAGCGTTCCAGCTGTTTGATGTGCCTCCTGTACAAGGTCCAGGTCTCACATCCATAAAGGAGGCTGGTGAGGGCAACTGTCTTGTACACCTTCAGTTTGGTGGTCTGCCGGATGTTGTGCTGTTTCAACACACAAGATCTCAGTCTGCCGAGAGCTTGGCTTGCCTTGCAGATCCTCGCGTTGATCTCTTTGTCAAGGGAGCCATCGCTGGAAATGACACTGCCGAGGTATTTGAAGTCATCTACAGTCTTCAGTTCTGTTCCCTCGATGGAGATGGAGGGGCGGGAAGCCACAGATAACAGGGTGGACTGGAACAGGACCTCTGTTTTGCCAAGGCTGATGGTGAGGCCAAACAGGCGGGATGCCTCAGCGAATTTGTCAACAATCAGCTGAAGGGCGGGCTCGTTATGTTAGAGGGCCTCTAATATGATCCTCTCAATGTCTTTGTTTTTGCTGTCAGGCAACGTAGGTCAAAGAGCGACCCATCCAGTCTGTACTTCATGTATACACCGTCCTTGATGTCTCGGACAGCGTGGCTGAGGACACAGGTGAAAAAGAGATTGAAGAACACAGGGCGAGAACGCACCCTTGCTTCACGCCATTAGAGATTTCAAACTTCTCAGACGCCTCTCCGCCAGAAAGTACTAGGCCAGTCATGTTGTCATAAAACAGGCGGATCAAGCTCACAAATTTCCTCGGACAGCCAAATTTTCCAAGGATTATCAACAAGGCCTCTCTGTTGACAGTATCGAAAGCCTTGGTCAGGTCGATGAAGACTGCATACAGGTCCATATTCTGTTCCTTGCATTTTTCTTGCACCTGATGGACTGCGAAAATCATGTCAATAGTACTGCGGCCTGGGCGGAAGCCACACTGTGCCTCTGGCAGGTTCTCCTCTGAGATGGCGGTGACCAGGCGATTGAGGATGATGCGTGCCAAGACCTTCCCAGCGATAGATAGGAGAGATATGCCTCTGAAGTTGCCACAGTCAGATTTGCTGCCTTTGTTCTTGAAGAGGGAGACAATAGTGGCATCCCTGAACTCCTGGGGCATGTCCTCTTCCTCTCAGATGCCAAGGAGAATACTATGGAAGGTTTCAAGCGCCACTGGCCCCACTGTCTTGAAGATTTCTGCGGGAATCCCATCCATCCCAGGAGCTTTTCCCGAGCTGGTCTGGCTGATGGCTTTCTTGACCTCTTGCAGGGTGGGAGGGAAGTTGGGGCATTGATTGTGGGCCTCTGGGGGATCTGGTTCAGGGCATCTGCACTGACAGTGGATGGTCTGTTGAGGAGGGTGCTGAAGTGTTCCCTCCACCTCTTGTTGATGGCGCTCTTCTCCTTCAGCAGTGTTCCATTTGCTGACAGGAGAGGGGTGGTGCTTGGTTTGGATGGTCCATACACTGCCTTGATGGAGCTGAAGAACATCTTAGAGTTCTTGGTGTCGGCGTAGAGCTGGACTTCATCTGCCTTTTTCTCCAACCACTCATCCTGCATACAGCGGAGCGCAGCTTGAGCTTGACTCTGGAGCTGCTTGAAGCAGTTCCTTTTGGAGGTGGAGGACATGTCGTTCTGCCACGCCATGAATGCTTTCCGCTTGTCGTCAAGGAGCTGGGCGATGGCCTTATCATTCTCATCAAACCAGTCCTGGTGGACTCTCTTCTTTGGTCCGAGTGTTGACTGGGCTGTCTCCTTCATCATCGTTCTGAACTGGTCCCACTGTTGTGTTGCGCTTCCAGTCAGAGGTCCATGGGAGGTCAGCTTGTCGTCCAGACTGGTCGCAAAGTGGTCGCGCAGATCAGGATGTCTCAGCTAATCCGTGTTGAAGGACGGCCTGACGAGCTTGGGCTTCTTCTGATGGTTGGGGGCGATGTGCAGCGTGAGGATCGACCTAACCAGGCGGAGGTCGGTCCAGCACCCGGCTCCTCGCATGGCCCTTTGGTTCTGAAGTCTCGGGCGTCCCGCCTGCGGCAGATAGCATAGTCAATCAGGTGCCACTGTTTAGACCTCGGATGCATCCAAGTTGTTTTGTACTTGTCTGCTTGCCTGAAGAGGGTGTTTGTGATGGTCAGGTCGTTCTTTGCACAGAGGCTCAGGAGCAGCATGCCGTTGGTGTTCGTTTTCTTAATGCCATGTGGGCCCAGCACGCCTTTCCAATTTCTGTAGTCAGTGCCGACTCTGGCATTAAAGTCGCCCAGCAGGATGAGTTTGTCTCCAGAGGGGGTGGCCTTCACAAGGTGATCGAGATCCTTGTAGGTTTCCTTCACTTCTTCGCTGCTGGTTAGTGTGGGGGCGTAGACGCTGATGACTGTGACATGACGAGAGGGGTTGAGAGAAAAACGGAATTTCATCAGCCGCTCGTTGATGGAGGTAGGGAGATCTGGTAGCTGGCTAAGAAGTGTCGTCTTAATGGCTAGTCCCACCCTGTGGATTCTGTTCTCGTCTTGGGCCTTGCCTTTCCAGAAAAAAGTGTAGCCGCCCTTGGGTTCAGCAACAGATCCTTCTTCTGCAAGCCTAGTTTCACTGAGCGCAGCGACGTCTATGCTGCACCGTGCCAGTTCTCTTGCTATGAGGGCTGTTCTCCTCTCAGGTCTTGTGGCGGTCTCTTTGTCAATTAGTGTTGGGACGTTCCATGCTCCAAATATCTTTTTATTTTTCTTCCGTTTTCGACCGCTGGATGGGTAAAAACTGCCAACCGCGGCTAGCTGGCCAGTTTGAGTTGGGACAAGCAATGTTTGAGACACCTTTTTTAGTCTCCTCCCTCCTGTGAGGGTGAGCAGTGCTATCCTAAAAAGGGCTGCTCAGTCGCCTGGGAGAACGCCGAACTCCTCTGTTGTCCCAGAGTCAGAGAAAGAGCGACTATTGTCGACAGGCCGCCTGTGTGCAGGGTTGGAACTTACAACTCCCAGTGGTCACCTCCACCTGTTGCATTCGCCCCTTCCCCATCGCCACAGGGCTTTGAAAATAGAGAAGTTAAGGAGAGTTGCACATAGTAACCTGTGCGGGAAGCGTTTATAGTGGGAAAGTCGATGCACAGGGGCAAATCCCACACTCTCGGCCTAGGAAGCCGGTTCCGGTGGTACAAAAGAGCGGTCATGACTGGAGACTTCTTTGGCTGCAGTGGATGGCCACGACGACTATAGTGTCTTGCCGTGCCCTGAGCGCTCCACAACGCTTTGCTGTCGTCGCCTTCATGACCGTGGGATCTCTGTTGATCTCATCTACTCGCTCTGCCGCATCCAGTCTTTACTTGCTGGGATAGACATGTCCCACATGTATGGGTAGTCACATTAAGCCCTAATTTGTGGTTTCACACCTGGTTTAGCCATCAAAGCTGTTGTCCCAGAAGTGACCGCTGTCGCATGCTGACAGCTATGGGGAGCCACAAGTGAGACCTAAGTGAACAGATGTAAACAGATGGTAGACTGCCGAACAAGGCTAATGAGTTCTACGTACCCAGGTTTGTGATCAGAGTTGTCCTTCTCCTAGGCAGATTGCCGATCTAGGCTAACAAGTTCTACCTACCCGGGTTTGTGGTCAGAGTTGTCCTCCTAGGTGAACTGCCAACCAAAGCTAACGAGCTCCACCTACCCGGAGTAACCTGGTTATAGTGCCAGGAACACGCTTGCACCCTCTGTCATTTAGTAGAAACAGGGTTGGCACGAGAAGCCAGACAGTAGGATTTGATTAGGAGAGGCTAATGTTGAGACGCAGTGCTTTAAGATGGGATACTTCAGTGGGGATGGAGCTGCTCAGTTCTCCATTCCACCCCAGCACATCCTAACCCGTTGAACCCCTGGGTGGTTTTAAACGGTTGGGTGCTTTTAAACGGTTGATAAAACACCAACTGCTTTTAAAACACTTTTTTCCCGGCGTCACATGAATTTGGACTCCTCAGAAATCTGGTCACTTTTACCCTTTTATTGGTTGAACGTTCACAATATTCACTTAGGCATGCGCAATACTACCAGTGAGTCCATATTTCATAGAGTCCTAAATTCACACTGCACCGGCACCGCCGGGTTCTGGGCCATGCGCACGCCAATCCCCATATAAGGAGATTTTTAGTACAACTCACAAGAGGCACACCCCATTAACGTAGCTAGAGGGGTGTTTCACAAAACATGAATTAAAAGTCCTCAAACTGGCTTTAAAGGGAAGATACAACATTTGCAAATATCAAAAAATGAAATGATCAAATTATCACGAAATATCTTACTTGATTGTTAAGGAATGCAGTCTAATGCATCCTGTAAAGTTGTGGCTCCTGGTGTGCTGACATTTTCAAGAAAAACTTTATGTTTCAGGCTGACCAGCATTGGAGAAAACTGGCTTTTTTTTTTAAATGCTCCTAGTTTTTCATATTTAGTTTGTCTGCATTTTCTTTGCAATTGATTACACACCTGTGAAGACTACAAGCCTGCTAGACTGATTCTTTGATCGTACAATTCCCCAAAGTCTATAAATTGCTCCGTTTCATCTTAATTGGGGTCTGGGAACCAGACTACAAGAATATGATTGGTTTTCTTGCTTTTTCCAGCATCTACGAACCCAAAACGTGACACAAGTCAGTGTAACAATATTTGCTATAACATACTAATCCTCCAAATCCATTTATTTCTGAAAATTGCAGCAAAAGCAAATGTTGTACATTCCCTTTAAACGTGCTTGTAAAAAAACAGGCCAAACACATTATTTATTCCCTCACATGTATTAGCCAAATTTTCTGAATCATGATGTAACCATGTTATAGTATTATTTTATATGACTGTGTTTACTATTTGCATAATTTCCCTTTTCTAATCTTTTAAAATGTTTCATCTTTTCTACTGGTGACTTGTGTTCCAGTAGACCTTTGATCTTTTCCTACTTTTGTTAAAGCCTGTCTTTGATCTTGCCCACTTCCTGGAAGAATAGAGGATGTCTTTTGTGTCCTCTGCCTTTTATTACTGACTGGTGCCCCAGTTGTGTACTCCTCCAGGAGCTGAGCAGGATGTAGGGACACTTAATCCCTGGTTGTTGATCACACCTTGCAGAAGCTGTGAAAACCACAAACTCTGCTGAGTGTTCATCTGCCTGGTTACTAAATGACCAATCGGCATTAGAGTCTTGTGTGACAATTTGAAGTTTGACCAATGAGAGCCTGGCTAGTCATGTGTTCAGGGCATGGTCTTGGTGCTAGCTGCCCCAAAATTTTAGCAGAGCTTGGCATTCCTGATTCTGCCACCGTGCTGACTGCATGCCTACCATTTTCACCAGCCATTTTGCATCATTTTGTTGTTCGATTGGAGGATCCTGATTCCAAGTTCCCTCCTTTTTGCACGAATGTTGGCTCTCTGTTTTAGGTAAGTTGAGTAATTATTTATCATGTTTATATTATCATAGTCATTACCTTTTCACTGTGACTTTTGTAAGTTGTGAAGAGAATCGCTTAAATTGATTTTTCTATGAAGTCTGGACTTCACACATTTTAGTAAGGCTAGACAAATTCATGAGAGAGAGACTAACCATTTTGTATATTATTACCAAGGTTAATGATGTTCTGAGAGATTCTTAAAGGATATTCAATTGGAGAGTTTTGCATCTTTTATTGCTACCTTTAGAGAAGTGTTTTAGCAAATTTGTGCAGTGAATTGGATCCGTGCATTTTCTATTTTATCTTTGAAGTTACATGTAGTGGTTTGAGGTCAAACCAAAAATGAGTAATGCTCCAGATTTTATTCAGCATTGTGTACAGATTTTTGTATTTTTATGGAGTCATGGTTTACCACCCATCGTATCTGTGATATTTCTGTGGTAAACTGACTAAAGTCCTACAGTCTGGACTGATTAGCTATTTTGTTGAAGTTCTATTCCACGGTTGCGACTTACGGTACTTGTTTAAGTACTTTAACAAATATTTGACTATTTTCTTGTGATTTGATTTACCCAAACTCAAAGACACAAACTGATGTCTTGTGATAGAGTTTTGGGTTACACAAGAAAAGATGCACACTTGTGTAATATAAATTGTAGGTTCTAGTTTTTGGGTGTTTGCATATTATTTTGTTGTGGACCGAAACTTAGAGATCTACATTTGTGGTTATCTCATGATCAAGTTTTGGAAGTTAGTCTTCCCGTACATAAACAGTTCGATTAAGAGGTGGAGTTCCTTTATTTTTTATTTGTGTCTCATGTACGAGACTGAGAAAAGTAATCCTTTGATCGTGCCTGGTTTTAAAGTCGTTCAAAGTGAATACTTTAGATTATTGTCTAAGAAGTACTAGGTGACAAGTTGATTTCTTTGATATTTTTCTATGATGAAGATACATGTTAATTAACATGTAGGTTGATATTCAAATTTAAAGTTTCGCACATGATGTGTGATCACGGAAGTGTGTTGTTTACATGTAGAAAAGTCAGCCATTTTGGTCTGACTTCGTAGTGTTAGATAATATTAGTAATGTGGCATGGACCACCATGTAACTCTCTGTTTTAGGCTAAAAAGACTGGACCATGTCACTTCAAGGGAGACCTAGACGGGACTGTCTGAATGTTCCCCGATCTGCCCGCCTGACACCCTCTTACGTGCTCCAGTGAGTCGGAGACCCGTCACTATCAATGACGTCCAAGACCAAGACGTCCGAGCAACCCAGCTCCACCCAAGATCCTTGATATCCGAGTGACCAAGTCTTCCAAGAAAACCCAGCTCTACCATAGACACAACAACCAGCACTGCCCTAGACACAGCCACATCATCTATCAAGACTCCGCAAGTATATCTTTGTTTTACTGTACCGACAAATGACGAGAGTTGTCATTTCTACTTCATCTTCAACTGAACCCTTCGTCTACTAGTCTACTTACATCGTTCTTCAATTATCTTCAAGTTCTTCTACACACTATGATGGACTCCGAACTACCGCGGATGGACGAATCGCGAGTCTAACCATTTTATAGTTTGGCGCCTTTTTTTTCTGAGCTCTAGCTTTGTATTTTAAATCTTACAGGATCCTGTGTTTTCTGTGAATTATACTTAACCTCACTGCATTTTCATTTGTATGGCCATTGCTTGAGACCACTTTATTTCTGGCAATAAAACATATTTCATTGTGTACGTAAATCCTAAATTGTGTGAAGTCAAGAGTTTTTTCAAAAGGGAGTTAAATTAATACAAGATTTGGTTCCTGTTATTTTGAAATTGAACCACGGGTTACAATGAAATAAACCACAAGGTGACACTGACTAGGGGAACCTTGTCAGATTTCCTTTGAGGTTCATCTCAATAAAATCTAATAACCATTTCCCAGGTTTACAGCATTACTAATGTTGTAAGCATTGACTTTGGGTGTGAACCCTGGCCACAAGGCAAAAACACATTTATACTGTGGTTTCTAACTAGTGCCCCTTGAACAAAATATTAACACATAGACAAAGTGGGAGTCAGTCAACATAAAGGGTTGTTATATCATGTGCTTGGATACTGCACTTTGATTGGTCTAGAACAGCCACGTGTCTAGTCTGTAATGTCATACACTGCGTTCCATATAAATGAACCTCATATATACACTGCGTTCCATATAAATGGACGTCATTCACTGGGCTGCTTAACAATTGTTGACTGTCGTGATGTGGGATATGCCGCTTTTAACACCCGAAAGGCGCATAGGAGGTGTGGGCAACTACTGAATTTCAGTAGTCGCGGCAACTATCAATAAAAAGTCGCAACTAGTTGACTAGTCGCGACTATAATAACATTGTTTAAGGCCAAAAAAAAAAGTCTCCGGTTTCTGGTCTGTGCGCGCGTCGCCGTAGCCATGCGTGTCGGCAAAATTGAAAAGTTTTTTTTCAATGTAAGATGATGTCTCAAAACCGCCAAACTCACTGGTTTGCCTGGAATCCTGCTGCTTCACAATTTTAACGTGTTTTAGATGGGGTTATGATCGAGTATAAGCTTTATGTGGCCTCTCTGGTCTCCCATATATTTTACACTAAATTTAGTCAGGCACCATTTGCAGACGGTGTTGTAATTTTGTAATTGTGCGTTTAGAAGCCAGACTGAGGGCGTGATGGTCGTGTATCTGGAACTTGTAAATGCTTTTTAATTAGCACAATATGTAAGGGAGCAGACTGATGACCAGTTTGGTAGCTCGTGCACGATGTCGATGTCGCTGTATGGTCTGACGTTACCGTTTTCTCTGATTTTTGTCTTGACTTTCCAAATTCCACGAAGAATGTTCGTGTCTGTCGAGATGGTAAGTGGGTGCAAAATTCTTAAGTCTTATAGCCTTACTGAGGTCACCTCAAGCTCCACTCTGAAGGATATTTTTGAGAGTTTTAAGGGGATCGAAGCGTCATCTGCAACATCAGCCGACATTTAAAGGAAAAAAAAGTAGTGCCGAGTGTAGTCGCACGTAGTAGTCGCGAACATAAGTCGCTGAATAACAACTAGTCAACGATTGTCATGACTACCTATACCATTTGGTATTGGTGACTAGGTGACTAGGTGCACTAGTCTCCCAAGCCTAGCGCATAGCACCTGAGGCGAATCCAAGAAGGCTATGCGCCCCGCAAGATGCGCATAGCACCCTCGGCTTCGCCTCAGGTGCATATCCCACATCACAGCAGTCAACAATTGTTTTGTTATCTTGTCTTGTTGCAATACTGCCCAACACCCCTAAATATAGGGGCCAACCGGGCCGGGTTCGATGCGCTTGATGAAATAGCGGAGAGAGTGTTGAGTTATTTGCTGGCTTAGGTAGTTGTGTACTGCTTCTTTGAAGTTATTCTTGGATTGTAGTGATGGTTTCTGGAAAAGCGTTCCAATTGACGATCGTGCGGGCGATGAAGGCAAATTTATAACAGTTTTCATTGGTAGTGATGGGTATGAAGCTGTTGGAAGCTGGTGATGTGTGTCTTACATGTACATTGTACATGTAGATTCCTTTCGACCAGACGCAGGATGTTTTGCACTGGTACGGCGAGGCGACCTGCGATCGCTTGTTGGAAGTTTGTGAGACGACATACTTTTCTTCTCTGTTGTAGATCTTCCCAGTTTAAGTCCTTTTCCATTGCTGTGACACTACTTTTACGTCCATAGTCCCCTGTGACGAATCTAGCGGCCCTGTTTTGAATTGCTTCCAGTTGGTCTATGAGCTTTTTGGTATGGGGTGCCATACTGAGGAACAGCAGTCCAGTATTGGTCTGACCAGGGTTTTATATGAGATTTCTTTGATATGTAGCCCGTGATTCTGTGGAATGGCGCCCTCTGGGGTTGCGCGGCAAAAGTGTGCTTGTGCATTGTTCGCCATTTTGTCTGCGCGTTTTTCAACGTGTTCTCTGAAAAGTACGAGAGATTTGTTCGAAAAAGTGCTTTAAGAGTGACTTATTCAGTCTGTGGCTCTCAGGTGAGTGTCATAAAAGGGATATAATATCATACTGGAATATGAGGGAGGTTAAATTCATGCTTACAATCATGTATTCACAGGAAGGGATTTTCACATAAATCTTGTGTCGTGTATGTGTGCTCCAACTACATGTACATGTGTAAATGAAATATGTCATGGTACGGGTTTTCGCATAAAATAATCGGGAACTGTTAATATTTACCAGTGGAGAAATAGATTTATTATTTACTCTCAAACTGATCCAAAGTGGATTATTTCCGTTTATAAAACCTGTGACTTGATGATAATTTCCCATTATAAAACTTGGGACTTTCTGGAACTGTTTTTGGGGGATAAACATGCATTGTGCTATGTTTCTGTTTATGCAGGCAGGCACTAGATTTTATCCAATAATATACATGTGATAAGCACTTTCTAATTATGTAACAAGATGTTATGCCTAAATTGATATTTGTATTTTTTTTTACATGCAATTTGTTTGTGCATGTTGATTGACATGTTGTGTATGTTTATTGTTGTTTAAAAACAAATGAAACATCCAACAAACACATGGTGTTTACTGCTTTAGACCAATGTAGTTTGGCATCTTAAATTTCAAGTCAAATGTCTTTCCTTGAGCACTTAGATTTGTATGTTCTATTAATTGTAATCTCTCAGAATACGAGGAGGAAGTTCTCCTAAGTCATAAGACCTGGGGTAGCAGTGTCCGTGTCCCTATCAGCAGAGACGAGCTGAGAGGCTGTTGTCGACGGCGGCCAACCCGAGTACTGGCTTCACACTGTGCGGCGAGTTCAGCAGACACTGAGTTACCATGGTTACAGGTCAGCATTAGATGACTGTCGTGTGATTGTGGATGAAGAGGATTCATCGATTGTCTCCAGCCTGTCCAGAGCTACGGTGGAGTGAGACCAAAATTGACACCCGTCAACTGAACTCTCAGAAGTTCCACGAACTATTGGGATCGACTCAGTCTTGAACTGAGGACTGCCAGACGTAACCGGTCCCGAACAGTTACTTTAATATTAGTGTACACACACACCGAGTGAGTTCCCGGGAACAAACAACTACATGTACATGTATAGGGCCTGGTCGACCATATCCTGTTTTTTTTTGGAAACATTGTATTGCATTTTTATTGTACTGTTGTTGTGAGAGTTGTTCTAAGAAATAACTAAGAATAAAGATTGATTGTTTGAGATCATTCCATACTTCTAGTTTTATTGATTCATTCCACATTTAATAACTGACAACTCTAGCCCACAGGGTCCTTGGCTTACAGATATGTTTGGGACAGGCGTGTATTAAGTTCCATCTTACATAACCCAGAGTTTGATTGGCGTTGCCTGACATTCTGTCAATGTGCGAGTTCCAGGACATATCATGAATGACTTATGTCTAACCCTAGGTAAGTCTGATTAGTTGTTTCTTGTAAAATAGTGTTATTTAGTGAATATGTGAATTGTAATAGTGATCTGGCATGAGTGACGTGTAACACATGACATTTCTGCGCATTGAAGGCCATCTGCCACTTGTTCTGCCATGATGTAAGCGTGTCCAAATCCCTTTGTAGTCTGTCAGCATCCTCAGGTCCGGCTATGGTCGAATACGGAATACAGTCGGCTCCCGTTATAGCGAAAACCACGGGACCGGCCAAAATGTTCGTTGTATCCGAATTTCGTAATATCCGATACAATGTTTCCCGTCCATTGTTCACCTGGAATTGGCCCTATTGTGCACGCTTGTGAACGTACGTAATGTACCCAATGACTTTTTCTGTTTGAAAGCAATTAAGAACATGCACTCTATGATGTGATTTGTCAAATAAAAAATAATGTTTAAAATGTATCATTGTGTCAAGTGAAAAAAGAATGTTTAATGTACGAAACGAAAATAAAATAAACATTACGAAAATGTGACGTTTTATTGCTTGATCATCGATGAGGAAGAAGTCAACGGCGGATGACCTGGATCACTTCAATGTTCAAAGTAAGTAATCTCTCCAGCACAAATTGTGTCATGGAGAGACATTTAAATTGTATTGTCCTTTCGTCTTGCAGATTTCAATGTGACAATGTGATAAGCGTTTTCAAGCACACGGCCGAGAAACCTTTGTCATTTACGTTCCAGATTTTCCGGTCCGTCCGTGATCTGAGTAGATTTTACAAATTGGTAGAGCGCCCTCATGAGTCAGTGTCCTAATGAATGATGATGTCATAATCTTACATCGTGATTGGATATTAACGTCTGACGATTTCAACGTCACGCAAGCGGACGAGCTCATTGGCGTGCACCAGTTCATTTATTCATAGCTTTGCATATGTATGCATTATGTCCAGCGTTGATGGTGATCAGTTTCTTATCGTCCCAGCAGGTTCCTTTTTGTAAAAGTTACGAAATAGCTTAACGTATTTTGTGCTGGTGCTCAAATGAATAAGTTTTTTAATGAGACAATTTTGGCAGAGTTTTGATTATAATTTCATAAATAATTTAAGAAAATATTTTTTTTGGGAGGGGGGAGTAATTTACGGGAGGTCGTGAATAATTTTGAATGAAATTACGTTTTGGAGAATTTTGGGATAGTCTAGGATTGTTTATTTTATTTTGGATTTGTAATGGGGTGCTTTGTAATTTTTGTTTAACCTTACATTTTTTTTTTTAAATCAAATCAAATCTGTGCCGGGGAGGGAGAGGGTAAATTATGTTTTATTTAATTTCCAATTTTGTATAAGGGGTTCTATTTGGGGGAGGGGGATTATTTTTATTTGCTCTGGGTAATAGGGTGGGGGTTCGTTATTTTTATTTGAGTCGGGATTCAAATCTCTTTTTTGAAAATGTGGTGGCTCTGAAAAGAGCCGTTTGGTTTGCTTTATCTGGAAGGTGATGTTACACCTTGAAGAAGTCCGTTATCTTCCGCTGTGACATCTTGTCTTGCTGCCTACTGGAGAGGTACTGCAGGATTGCAGCGGCGTGATCGTAGACATCGTCGTCCATGTCGGGCTGGCTGCAGAGATAGTCCCGAACCTGGTGCATTAGGCTCAGGCAGTCGGTGACATTTCTTGGCCGTTGTTCCTCCGTTGGCGCCTCCTCCTTGTCTTTTGGTTCTTCTTCAACTGCACCAGCTCTCTCGGCCGTCACGCTCTCCGCTATCTGCTCTTCGGTGGGTTCTTCCGTACAGTCTATGACGGAATCGGACTGTACGTACTGGTTGAAGGACGCAGGAAGCTCGATGTGCTGGGCCAATCTGCTCCAGATGTTGTCTGGCCGATCTTGACTGGCTTGGGCTTAATCTTGCTCGGGCACTTGACCTTCGGGATCTTGATCTTGACCTTCGGGATCTTGACTTGCAGTGACGAACCCCGCCTTGGCAAAACAGCAGGCGATACAATCCGCCTTGACATTTCGCCATGCCAAGTCGGTCATGTCGATGGCCTCCTTCACGTTGACTGCTTTAGGGGTGACACCGGAATCATAGCTCTGAAGCAGATGTTGCAGAAGCTGACGGCGGTAGTTCACCTTGAAGTTCATGATGACACCCTGGTCCATGGGCTGTAGGTGTGACGTGGTGTTGGGAGGGAGGAACACGAGGGTGACGGCTTCAAGGTTCTGGACATGGGGATGGGCCGCACAGTTGTCGACGAACATCAAAACTTTGCGTTGCCGTCTAGCAAACCAACGGTCAAGACGACAGATCCACTCGGTGAACAGCTCCAAAACCATCCAGGCCTTGCGGTTCGCACGGTACATCACCGGGAGGTACTTGACATTCTTGAAGCAACGTGGGTTTTGAAATTTCCCGATGACGACCGGCTTCAGCTTCTCGGACCCGTCCATGTTAGCGCAAAGCAGGACGGTGACCCGGTCCTTGCTCTGCTTGCCGCCGTGACACTGTTCGCCCTTGAAAGCCATGGTCTTGTCAGGAGTCAGGCGGAAGAACAGGCCAGTTTCATCTGCATTGAAGATGTCCTTGGGCTCGAAACCACGAAGAAGACCAGGGAGGGTGACCTTCACCCAGTCGTCAACTACGCCACGGTCCACGCATGATGCCATGGCGCTCCTTGAACCGGGACAGCCAGCCAGCACTTGCGGAAAATGTGTTGTGGCCCAACAACTTCGCCAACTGGTCGGCCTTTTCACGGAGAAGGGGACCGCTGATAGGCAAATTCTTGGACCGGTTGCCTTTGAACCAACGAAGGAGGGCTTCCTCGACATCCTCAAACGTCGCATTCCGGAATCGCTGCCGTGAAGGTTCGAACTTCGAAAGTTCGAACTTTGCCTTGATGTCTTGCTTGTTCTTCAGGACTGTCGACAAGGTGCTTGGAACGATTCCAAACTCCCGTGCGATGTCTCCCTTCTTGCGTCCTGCTTCAGTAGCTTTGATGATTTCCATTTTTGTTGAGAGGGACAGCCCCTTACGCTTAACCTTGATCGAAGTCATGATGATAACAGTAGTCAGCTCAGAAGTATCAGTAGTCAGCTCAGAAGTACGATAATCGTAATGATCACTTGTCATATTCTACACCCCTTATATCCAATATCTGCCCGACTCGATGACAAAAGACATCGTAATTACGCTTGACCAATCTGAGCTTTTGTTTCCCTTTCATTAATGCAAGCCGACAGAATTAGGTACATATTGGAAAAGCCCATTCACAAATGTCACGTCTTGGATGAATGTCACAATGGCGATGTGCAAGTGGTGCGGGTGACTGGCACTCGTCATCGGAACACTTTGATGATGGGCCTTTGTTGTTAACCGGCAGAATTAGGTACAAATTGGGAAAGCCCATTCACAAAGGTCGAAGTACGTCTTTGATTAATGGCACAATGGCGATGTGCAAGTGGCTCGGGTGACTGGCACGCGTCTTTGCAACACTGCCATGACAGGCCTAACTGCAGCGCGAGATTAACTTGACTGTGCGCCGGCAAACCGATTAGCACCTCCATCTGAATACATCTACGTCGGCAACATGAAACTACTCACACAAGACGGACACCTGCTGATTACTAATACATTGTACTGCTTTCAAATTGAACGAAAAAAGCCGTGCGCCAGATTACCTTTCGTTATAAATGGGTCGCTGACAATGCATTTTTACGCAACCGGGTCGCCAAAACCTTTCGCTTTAACAGGAATTTCGTACAGTCCGTTTTCGTCTTAAGCGAAATTTTCCCCATAGACATGTGCACAATTTTGCCGGGACCAAAGGTATTTGTTTGTAATAACCGGAATTTCGTTCTAGCCGTTTTCGCTATAACGGGAGCCGACTGTACAATGATCGGCAAACAAGCAGACAGTCAATTCAATGCCGTGTGGGAGATCATTAATGAACAGTAGAAAATCCAATGGTCCTGAATGGACCCTGTGGCACACTTGGCTCTACGTCCACCCATTTGGAGAATTCACCGTCCACTGCAACACGTTGTTTTTGTTGGGTCAGGAAACTTTCAATCCATTTATGGATATTTGCTCTTATCCCATACTGCTGTAACTTCAGAAGTAATCTCCTGTGGGGAACCTTGTCAAAGGCCTTTTGGAAGTCCATTATGATTATGTCCACTTTATGTTTTCTGTCCAGGTTTTGGACTATATCTTGTATTGTTGATAGAAGTTGAGTTTCACAGGAATGACCCTTACGAAAACCGTGTTGTTGACATAGTATACTATGTGAGTCCAAATGGTTCATGATATTAGATTGGAGAATGTGTTCTATGATTTTACTGCACACTGCAGTTAGGTTGACAGATCTATAATTTGCTGGCTGAGTTTTGTCTCCTTTTTTGAAGATAGGCGTTACGTTTGCACATAACCAATGCTTGGGAACGACCCCAGTATCAAGGCATAGTTGGAATAAGATGGTTAAAGCCAGACTGATTTCCTCTGCTGTCATCCGCAGGACCCATGGGGATATTTCGTGCCAATAAGTCAAACGATAAATGGTTGTAACTTACTACTTTAATGTATGTGAGAAATAAATTAATTCAGATGTGTGGTCTAGCGGTAGGGCTAAGGGTTCATGATCATGAGATTGTGGGTTCAAGCCCCGCCGTGGCCATGCGTGCTGTGCCCTTGAGTAATGCGCTTTACCTCAATTACTCCTCTCAACCCAAGTGTTAAATGGGTACCGGCATTTTTCAATGCTGGGAAGGTACATGTAACAGACTCGCTGTGGAGGAGGTGTGGCGATCCCCCCACAGCTACATTTCATGGACTCGAGTCTGGCCCAATCGCTTTGAAAGAGAGCTGGGCACTCTGTTCCTGTGAACACAGGTTCGTCCCCATTTACCTTTACTTTTAGTGTGGTGTAACCCTTGATTACTGCAGGCTTTCCTGCTGGACACTAGACTGGGCAGTTGCGCATTGCATGCAGTTCTCAGTTGCAAGTGCGTGTGGAGGTTCTACACGTGCGCATTGTGAGGTTAACCACTGTATACATGCATGCACTTTTACAGACAGGACACATGACTGTTCTTGAGCAATGAAATTACAGTATCCAAGCATACGATATTGCATGTGTTGCGCGTGCATATGGGACCTGGCCGCACGTGTGCGAGTAGGGCTTGCCTGTGTACTCATGATTGAGAACTGCAACCCCTCAGTCTCATGTCTGGCAGGAAATCCTGCAGTTATCAAAGGTTACAAAGCAGTGATTTAACTTATTCTTGCATAGTGATGTGGGATATGGTGTATTTAACCCCCTCGGGGCGCATATAGCACGCTCGGCTTTGCCTCGGGTACATATCCCACATCACAGCAGTCAACAATTGTTAAATGGATAGTTCAGTAGGTAAATCAGCCCTCCTTCTTTGCTCAACAACTATTTTATGATGCTAAAAGCAGATTTATAAACTTCTAAATGATATACATGTACCAATAGTACCAATAAATGTATGATGCATACCTGAAACCAATGCCACAGTGTTGGATCTGCTCCTGGTGGCATACCAGGCTGTTGATATCCAGGCTGTTGATATCCAGGCTGTTGACCAGTGGCTGCAGGATATTGCTGAGGGTTATACTGAGGGGGAGGAGCTCCATACCCGTGTTGAGGGGCTCCATAACTCATCTGATGGGGTGGTGGTTGGGATGGGTGATAGCCCTGCATTGGGGGGCGTTGCCCATGGGCTTGCTACAGTGTAAGCATCATATCATCATTATCAACAACTGTCAAGATTTCATTAGTGAGTTTGAAATGCCAGAAATGTTATCATAAATTGTCTCAATTACAATGTTTTATTCAAGCAAAACAAAACAACCGCTACGAAAACTCTAGGAGATACCCAGACTGGGACCTTAAGTGTTCAAAACGATGCAAAAGAAGATCAGGCCAACTTTACTCACTCTTTAGCCAACAAATTTTTCCAAAACTGTCACTGGGCAAAGAAAAGTTCCTCAGTATTTCACCAACCGAGTTTGAAGACTCAATACATTTTTAGAGGAGACTTTTCTTCAATATTTGGCTGTGGCTTGCACATGAGAGGGAAGTCAAGTGATTTCAAAATGAGGCTAAAGGCTAAACTTCTACATGTCCATCCATGGTCCAACTGTTTGACAAGACTGACTTCTTCATTCCTTGTCATTAGTCTAGTGCCTAACTATGGAGAAATGTGTAAAAATGTGACCTAGTACTCGACATCCTAATGGGTTTTTTTTTGGCACAGTCAGCTGACAGTTTTTGATTGCAGTACTGAAGAGTTGTTGGACTGGCTGTTTCAGATGCCAGTCTGTTTTCTTGCATTGCATGTTTACAATACCTTCAGTTTTGGGACTCTCATACACAGTATTGAGAGTCCCAAATTTTCGGACAAGGAGATATTTGTGCAATGAAAAAGTGATGATAAACATAAGTAATTTGTACTGTTTGCATAGATTTTGTGGTTCCCCCCTCCCCCAAACTGACACTTATGTGTAGGATCTAGACTTGGGTAAGACTATTACCAACACACCCATTACATTAGTAGGGGAGAAGGGCGGATACCAGACTTTGCCATAGGTCTGGGGGTAGTACAGGGCCAATGGGGAGAGGGGCAGGTACCAGACTTTATCCCTCCCCCTTTCCCCCACCCTCTGGCCACGCCCCCACCCCACCCGCCCCTCCCGATATCTCAGCCCCAAGCCAAAACCGGGGCTCAATATCTCTCGTCTTGAAGATCTCTCTCACCAGCCGGTGAGTCTGATTGCTTATAAATATAAAAGTCTGACCTCTTAAAAAAATTAAAAAAAATTATATTGATATATATAAATGATGAATATGATCAAGCCAATCGTTAAGGGATTTTCTAGATGGAATAAAGCCACGCTGCGCGATTACGTCCAGCGATATAATATACCGTACGATCAAAATGTTGCTCTTACGCGTAAAGTCTACATCAACGGGATAAAAAAATACGAAGCTCAATTTAGAAACTTGAGGAAAAAGAAGCTACATGAGCTCAAACAGATTGTAGACGATTATGATCTAGAATATAACCCGTCGGGTTATAAGGGTCGATTTTTGAAAAAAGATTTACTCTCGGCGATTCAAAACTCTAGGCAACCCGAGTATTTTCAAGAGGCTGAGTTTAGAGCGACGAGGAGATTTAGAAATAACTTTAGAAACTGGGAACTGATTCCTAGACTTTTTAACGACGATTTAGTCAAGTTTTTTGATACGCACAAAGATCAAATTGTAAATAAAATCAAGTCAGAATTGAGAGAGCTGAGAGGTTTAAAAATGGAGCTCACAATCAAAATAAAATACGAAAAAACCAAACCCGATGGTACGATCGAAACGATCGAAGCTACACATTTTACCGATCAGAGAGTCGTTTTAAATCAAAGTCAAATAAAACAGGTTTTAAAAGAAGACATCGACCAGATATTTAAAAAGGATGAAAGGTATACGAATCAAGGATCGGGTTGGGTTTTAAAAAAGATAATGGCGTTGTATATCAACATCAACAGGTTTAACCCTGTGAGAGGTAGTTCTTATATTGACCTACCAAAATGTATCAAACAGAAAACGGCGATGATTAACATTAAAAACAAAGACGACGAGTGTTTGAGATGGTGTTTGAGAGCTGCTCTTGGGTTGTATACGGATAAAGTAAAAAATAACATAAAAAACGATCCTAAATATAAAATTCATAAAGAAGAACCTGTTGTATACACCAAAGACGACGGACTCAAATTTAAAGGCGTAGACTTTCCAACACCGATCGACCAGATACCAAAGATAGAAAGACAAAATAATTTAACGATAAACGTATACGGTTATGAGGGGGAAATATATCCGTTATACGTGTCTAAAAACTACAAACCAGAGTCACGACCTATCGATCTGTTTTTGTTTTCTGAGGGCGACAAGCATCACTACTGCTGGATAAATAACTTTTCGAGATTGATTCACAACGTTACAAAAGATAAAAGTAAGAAATATTTTTGTCGAAGGTGCCTGAGTCATTATAGAACGCAAGTAAAATTAGATAGACACATGGCCGATTGTAACGGTATAGATACACATCCGTCAAAGATTGTATTTCCTACCGCTAAGCAAAAATATGTAAATAACGAGTGGATAGTCGACGAAAACGATGTGCCAACATTAGAATTTAAAAACTACAGGTTTAAACAAAAAGCACCGTTTGTAGTTTACGCCGACTTTGAATCGATATTAGAAAAAAACTCGGACGATAAAAAGAACAACACGCAAAAGACAAACATTCACAAAGCTAGCGGTTACTCGTTGGTAGTAGTTAGATGCGACGGCACCAATGCGTATCAAGAGACTTATAGAGGTAAAGATGCTGTATCAAAGTTTGTAAATAAAATGTTAAAAATACAAAGCGACATAAATTGCATATTTAAAAAACCCCAACCCATGAAATTTAATGAGCGAGCTAAAGAACATCATGATACAACAAACACGTGTTGGATTTGCGAGAAACCAATTTATCCCAATTACTCGAGCAACTGTCAGTGCCAGAAACCCCAAAAACCAAAAACAGAAAAACAAATAAAAGAACATCAGTACGAAAACAAAAATGGATTTACAGAGTCTAAATGCCTCGAATGCAAAAAGAAAATCAACAAATTTAGAAAGGTGAGAGATCACTGCCACGTCACGGGTAGATATAGAGGTGCCGCGCACGCCTACTGCAATCTAAAATTACAAGTTAAACCAGGTTTTACCCCCATACCGGTCGTCTTTCACAATCTGCAAAATTACGACGCTCACTTGATCATGCAGAGTATTTCAGAGTACGATGAAAAGGAAATACAAGTTATCGCTAGAAATTCGGAAAAGTATATTTCGTTTTCGATCGGAAATATGCGATTTATAGACTCGTTTAATTTTATGGCGTCTTCGTTGGATAGATTATCTAAAGCTTGTCCAAGAGAGTCGTTTAAACTACTCAGAGAACATTTTAATCGTCAAAATATCGACTCGTTGTTACAA